GGGGGGAGAGGGCTGCGCGGGCCGAGCCGCCCTGGCGAACTTTCTCCTCGTTCCGCGGAGCTTTCCCCGACTCCAGAGCCTCCCCTGCGGTCACGCGTCGTGGGTCTGCAAGACTAGCTCATGAAAGGGACGAGACCTCCAGAGAAACGCTTTTTATTAGATCAAACGGGTGAGGAAAGGGGGAAAAACGGCCGAGAAAACAGCTCCGTGAACTATAACTACGCCAAAACTGGCCAAACCCCGCAGTAACGTGCGTGAACGGGAAGCACTTCCCAGTGTGGGATGAAGGAGCTCATGCTTCCTCGTAAGAAAACTTTGCAATTTCTACCTGAATCCGTGCAGAGAGAAGGCCAACTCCATTATAAAACTGGGGACCAGCCAGGTTTGTAACTAGTTAGTAAACACACTCGCACCGACATGGTGATACAGAGTATACACGTGTCGCTTGCAGGGATCCACGATCAAGTAGGCAAAAGTCTGTTCGTGGCTTTTGCTTGAAGGGTAGCACAGGCCATTAGCATCCTGAGAGAAAGTGAAAAAAATCCAAAACAGTATTAGGGACAGACAATATGGACACCCATGAATTAATATAATAAAATTTGAATGAAATTTATCATTTTGTTCCAAATGTAACAGTCTAGCTAAATACACTGCAGTTTATTAAAACAATATTCTGGCTCCATGAGGATCCCAACACTATAGAACACACAGTAGTTCTGGCTGAATGTTTCAAATAACCTTGAGGTAAATGTAGTATTAATAGAAAATGTAAAATTAAACATGTAAGCATGTGTTTATGCATATATATATGTTAAATATACAACAGCCCAATCATGTTTCCTTTGAAAGAGAAAAAAAATCACAGGCTCTATATTAATACAGAAAGCTGTTCCATCACTGATTTTTTTTTTTCACTTAACATTTGCTAATGCATCTGTTCAGGTTCAAATATTTGCATTTAAGCAAAACCCTCATTACAGCCCTTACTAACAACTTTGGACTGTTACTGAAAACATTTTGTGTGCCAGTCCTCAGAAAGGGTTTGAAGGGAGTCTGGACACCTAGCTCGAAAATCCTCATTGGAAAACCCATCCAGCTGACAATCAGCATGGGAATTGGGCTCTTCAGTTTAGCATCCCATGTCTGCACATGGCAATAAAAGCTTCAGTGTTGACAGAGCAGCACAGCTTGACACACACTTCAAATCCAGTAGGAATCCAGAAACTAGATGGGGATATTTTTGAAGGGTTGCTATTTTTTTTCATTCAGTCACTCTGGTAATTGAACATCCAAAAGATCACTAAATTCTTTTAGAACACCTCCTGCTCCCCAACACCTTTATACAACAGTTGAAGAGACAGAGGTTCTGTTCTACCTTTTGCCTAAGGGAAATTGATATATTGCATGTATTGTTCATTTTCTTCAGAAAAATATTAAACTCACAGACTATTCCAGATTAGGAGCACATCTCTCACATTCTTGTGTTGAAGCTCTCTTCCTTTGCATAAAATAATCCATCTTATTTTGGACCATGGAAACATAAGAACAGTAAGCTCTCTCAATAGCTAAGGCTGTCAACTTAGAATGAAAAGGTCTGGGTTCCCATTTCCACTCCAAAGACTATCTGTGAATTTTATCCAGTAGTTGTTACTAGCATCCCAGTTTCTCTCCTGTTATTTCAAAGAAGATGAACCCCCTACTATATGTTCTGGTGTCTTCCTTTGGAGGATTGTTCGAACTCCTAAATCTTAAATTAAACCAAGCACCACCATAAAAGCATTGTTTAAGACAGGTAGAGATTTGATAATGTTTATTCACAGCATTTTCCAATGGTAGGCAAATGCCAACAAGCTAAAAATAGCATTCTATTTTTAAGCAACACAGCATACAAGCTCTGTAGCTCCAACTGTAAGATGCCTAGCTCTCTTCAGGTGGTTTTGAGGGATACATGTGTAACAAACACTGGATTCTCAACTGCAGTAAGGAAGGCAACTTTTAAGGTTCTGGAGTGCTCAGCATTACAATGCCTTTGGAGTTTGACCCCAAAACAACCTAAGCTCATGCACAAAACTAAAAAAACATAAAAAATAAGAGAAGACCAACATCAAGATGTGATTGCCAGTTAAACTCTTCTCACTGCTATCAAGGGTCCCACTCCTGCAATCGCTATGAAATTGACTAATGTCAGCTAGTTTTGACTGTTTCAAGGCAGTGTTGGCACACTAAAAATTTGTTTAGCAACTCAAGAACAAAAATGAGTTAAGTTGGTGATGAGGCATTTCGAGAAACTACAGAATATACCAAACCTGGGATAATAAATATAACATAATTCAATGAAAAACATTCTTAAATTTACATTAATTAGTAAAAAAGTTTGTAAAGACCCTAAAATACTTGAGCACAATGGCTCTGAAATTTACATTCCTGCATGTACACAAATTAAGAATCACACCAGTTCCATCTGCATATGGACTTCGTTTCAGACATGTAGGGGGTGTAATGATTGATTTACTTATGTTAGAGTAGGATCATTTTATTTTTTCTTTGTAGGAACATGGATAATCAGCTGATGATTTAAGAATACATATGCATAGCATAATACAGAAATAAAGATACTGCTGAACATTCTCAAAACGGCATCACTTAATTGACAAATTTTTTAAAATAATCTTTGAATAAACTGTGCATTTCTAACACTGCCACAGTTTGGATTCAGGTAAAGAAAGAGCTAAAATATCAGTGAGCAACCCATTACTTCAGCTGTAACCGTGTTTCATTATATGCAAAGCCCTGACACTGTCAAGGGTGTCTGGAGTTCAACAGAGTATTTCGTCACAAGTTTTAAAATTATTTCTCATGTGATGCCCAGGTCTATTGGATTTTTATGCTAAACAGGCCTACAGACACTTATAACTATACCTTGATACCTTGAAATACTTACATCTCTAATAGTGTGCGTTTTTAGGTATTGTCTCCAAAACAAGGGCTTCTTAGCCACAGCTTAAGTTGTCAATTCCTGATTCCATTTGTATTTGCACAAATTTACATGTATATTTATTTGTCCATTTATTAATCCAGCTTGCAAAAATGTGTGTTCTTCTAGCTTCTCAGCTGCACAAGTCACTGTTACCAGAACAGCTTTTAAAAATTATTTGTTTATTTATATCAAGCTAGGAGGGTATGTCCTTTCAGATATCAACCAAGAAAACATGTCTTAAAAACTGCCAGCTCAACATTATAACACACTCTACAGTTATTTACCAAATGAACTCAGAAACTAAATCTACTGCAGAAATGTAGTTATATCCTTGACAGAAACTTTCCATCACAAGCACAAGACATTTGTGCTCCAGTAAGTGTCCTTCCTGTATGTGCCACCAAGTAGAGTTGAATAGTTTTGACCCACATAGCCATCAAACACTCTAGACATACCATTTAAGCTTTTTTGTATTCTGAGAGAAAATTCTTCAAGATGTTCTTTAATAAACTTGTAATTTCAAAATTCTCCTTCACCTCACAAATTTTCAGAATGTGCAGTAATGCCTAATTTTCTTCCAAGGTTACAAGGAGAATAACCTGCTCTGAATTTACACTAGATGTGCTTTTGTCCATCCACCTCTTTTCTTTACAAGAGGTTGCTAAAGTTTGGAGGTTTTCTTTTAATACTGACAATATTTAGTGTATGGCAAAGATAGTTAGGGAAGCTCTTTAATGTTATGTGTCTACCTAAACATAGAAATTTGCAAAATTCACATCAAAGTGTTTGATTCAGAGGTGAGAAAGGAACAGTAATAACTGAAGAACATCAAGTTATCATGGTTTTGCTTTTTTATTTTTTTTTATTACACTCTGCAACCTAGTGGAAAGATAAATTTTGATACACCCATAAAGTATTTATTTTCAAAAGCCTTTTATGAATCACACAAAGTACTTAAAAGATGATGACCCACAGATGAACAACTGGGCTATTGGCAACCTACAGGGAAGTTTGTGCAGTCTGAAATGACATCAGCTAGTGCTGTTGAAAGTGGGTACATTATCTGACATTTAATTATTATATATTCTGGTTACTCAAGAAGAATTTGGAGCAGTTCATCCTACTGTAGCAATTAAATGACAGACGTGCTGAATCTAGTAAACATGCAGCCAGTTCTCAAACTTATCTCGATGGTAAGTGTATGATTTTGCAAGAGAAACAGATAGGAATGAGACTTGACAGGGGAGGGGAAAAGAGGTTAGCAGTCACCTCACCACCCCAGCCTTTCTGTGTACTAAACTTCCTGGCAGTCTTTACAGAAACAGATGCAGTGCAAGCTATTCAGAAAGCTCTAGCAACATTTCTGAAAACAGAACTATACAAAGTCAAGAGTGCATTCTTAATCCTTGCTGCTGTCTCAAGTAGATGTAAAGCCAGAATTACTCAGGCCTATGGGTTTTTTCATAAACTAGTTTCTGGATGACTCTTGTGACCTCAAATGTAATCCAGTAAACCTATTTTTAGTGAGCCACCAAATAAAACTTTAGTTGGTGGTTACTAATGAAGAGTTAGGAAAGAGGATGAGAAAGCAGGATGAGACCAGAGAAAGAGTGCATGAATGAAAAAAATGACAACTAAGGGAAAATAAACCAGTACAAGGGAATATTACGTTTTCTTTGTGAATGTCAATTATTTTCATGTTATGTATGTTACTTCCAGAAAAATCCTGTACCAAAAAATCATTAATACTTACATATGCAGACACTCTGAAGACTGTAGAAATAACTCCTATTTCTTTTGTTTCAGGATTCTTTTGAACACTGAAATACAGGGGAATAATGCATACTTAACAAGTACAGTAATCACTGATTATTAGAATCTTTCATTTATTAAATACATTTTTCATATATGCTCTGTGTCCTCACCCAAATTGTATTAAATACAAATTCATGGTTAAAATTCACCTTATGTCACACTGACTATGAAAAGGTATATGGCCATTGTTCAGTAACATGGATTCTATGACATTCTACTGAAACCTATTGAATATATCTAGTCATCTGACTAAATCACAGCAATATTACCCCATTCTAGGCAACTCCCATAAAGAATTTGCATTTTGATAGCTAGGAAAAATTATGCAGCTAAACAGTTTGTAAAAATCTTTTCACATATTCTTTGAGAAAAAAACCTGCAAAGGGAAATGCATCCTAACACAGACCACAAGAAGTAGCAGCAGTACTGATGAAGAAATGCAGACTTTAGCTCATTTTTAATTAAAATATAATTATAGTTTAGGTTCATTTTTCCTCCTTTGGAATTTTGTCAGCTATGCAACCTAGGATGGGATTAATTCTGAGTTTTTACATTTCTAGGCTGTGTTTGTTGTGAAGGCTGCCATTTCTTTCATCACATTTACTAATAATACTGAGATAGTATTTTAAAGCATCCAGGCATCTCAACATATTTCAAATTTAAGTATTTTTAATATGTTGTTTTTTCCTCAGGTCTGCTTTGAGTGATGCTTACATTTCTTCATAAATTAGATCACGTAACTGCTATTAATTTACCTAATTGCACAGATTCCTATTTACATTGACACACTGTTGAGCAGTTGAGGGTTATAACTTCCATACTTATACACTTCTAAGAAATGCATAGCTCAAATCCTGCTTTTTCACAAATGGTTTTCATTCCTGGGAAAGGTCCCAGTACAGACAAGTTACTAGAGGATGTGTGTTAAACACAGCCCAGTTGTACACCACACCAGCTCCAAGCTGTGACAGCCATCCCCTAGTAGCACTGCTTTGGCAGAGCTTCTTTTTTTAAGAACAAACAAACCCCAAATCAACCAACATCACCTTTGTTGATTAAATCTCTCCAGCCAATAAAAGCAGTTGACTCTCCGATTAACTGATTTCATCTGTAGAGTAATGACACAGTCATGTTTGAATTCAGCCTGTACTGTGAAGCTGATCTTCCCTGTGGTGAGTCAGTAACGAGGCTTCCACAGAACTTTTTGTTGCATCTGACATATTGACATACTCAACAGTGGATTAAGGCAGCATTGCTGAAATTGGTACTGACCCCAGCTGTCTGCCCTACCACTCTCCAGGGATGACTTCCTTCCCAGCAGGGACAGCTCAGCTGGTTCATGACTCAGCTTCTGAGCCACTGCAGTTCACAGAGCAGCACATTAAGACAAACTAACACAGACGTCAGTTTATGTTAACGTACCAAGCTGTAAACTGCAGCAGTTAGGAACTGTTTAACCTTCTCTGTGCAAAGAGTGACAACTATCAGAACACGATATAGAAGGTTAGTGGGGTTGTTGCTTTCTACCATATATCACCACCTCTAAAAGCTACAGTTGTATTTAAGTTACTCTGGCTTCAGATTCGTCTGTCTGAAAACAATGCTATCAATTTCTGGTTTCTTAATTTCTATGCTATATATATCTAAGATACCGAAGTCAGGGGAGACAAAGAATAACTCTTTCTATTTATTCCACTGCCTTGAGAAATTTTCCCCTTGTGGTTAGCTTCCTGTAAGTAATTCTTCAGAATGAATGTTTATTTCTAGTACTTTGGTTAGTTTTTAAGGCAAAAAATTGCGTCTGTTAAAATCAGATGAAATTCTTCCTTTGCTGACTTGAAAGAAACCAGGAGCTTGCCTTTGACAAGCTTGTTTGCTCTATTTCTTTTTTTCTCCTAAAAGGTTTTAGAAAAAAGGACCTTGCCTTCTTGAAGAGGACACTATTTCCTTAAAAACAGTCTTAATACCACCATGTTCTTTCAAGTTGTTAAATTCTAAACTATTCATTGAATATGGTAGTTCTTCCATCATTTTGATGCACATCTATTCTCTTTTTATTAAGAGCAAACATCCTCATGGTCTCTCAATTCACTTTGGGCTTTATTTATATCTGACCCTACCAGCAATATTTTATTGGGCTTTCCAAACAATAAAAGAACAACTTACTGCTTTCACATACATTCATTCATTATGGGGGAAAGGGCATGGAGATGGAGATGAAGAAAGGAGAAGAAAACAATGACTACAAGGTACTACAACAGCTGTCACCATGGAGAGACACTGTCAGAAAAAATCAGAGAGAAAGTTCAGAAGACAAGATTTATCAACAAAGATTCATAGATTATATTTTAATTAACGAGCTTTTGTCATGTAACTATATGCTTTAACTAAATCAAAATACTACAACAAGGCTTTTGAAATTATTTAGGTTACACAGGACACGACACTGAACACTAGAATTTTGGATGGATTCAACTGGTCACAGACTAATTACTGATGGATTAGTAACACTACAAGTTGTGCATTAATTCATTAGTAAGAAAATACTGCTTTTTTTGCAAAGAAGAAAATGTTTGCCATTTAATAGCTGTATTTGGAAGTCCCTAGCTGTGCTTGTAGATTATCTAGAGTGGTTAATTTCAAAAAGACTATTGCATTCTCTCATAAAAAAGCAATATACATGGAAATGCTTGAACAAAATGGAATCTCAAACCTTTTAACACTATTTTGAACACTAGTGTCTTAGAGTTAGAACTCAGGAAAGGCCAGAAAAAGCAGCTGTAATAAAGATAAGTACAAGAAAGCTCATAATAGGCCTGCCACTCCCACAGTAAACACACTTTTGTGGACCTCTTCATGCCAAGGCTCTTTTCCATTAGGAATACTGTTACAAGACCAAACAGTGGCAGTTTATACTTCTATAAGCATATTGTTATTAGACTAAGTTCATCTCTGGCAGCTAATTTTTCAATGCACATCAGCTAGAAGCTAATAATTATTGCAGTATCCATTTGTTTTTTACCAAGCCTTCTGAAGCCTCAAACAGAAAAATTAAGCCTTCAGGAGAGTATAGTTTAGAGAATTCTTAATACCATGAAAAGTTTTTAATATCACTTAACAAGGAGTAGGAAGTATCCAATGCAACTGCAATCCAAGATGAAGAGAAACCAGACAGAGGATAGCAGTCTAAAAAAGATTTTTAAGAACAGTTGTATTTAACAGGAATTTGAAGGCAAACTCTTTGGTAAACAGAATTTAAGAGATTACTACTATCATTAGCAATTGTTTCCTGAGAATAAGAGGCTATAAGAAAGTAATTTTCATTGCTTTATATTCTGGCGCTATTTGTGCAAAAAATGAAGTAAAACAATGCACAGCATAGACTAGGAATGAGAAATTCGTCAAGACCATCAGTAATGTTCCTCTTCAGAGCCTTTCAGTGGCTTTTTCCTTCTTAAGGTGGTGAAAATAAAACAGCAGCATCCTTTTCGATAAACCAGGGGCAGGGAGAAATGAGACAAAAAAAAAGACAACCGTGATTGTGAAGCAGAAGGGAAAGTCTGAAATGTCAAGGTTGAAAGCTTTTCTCGTGGGACTGACAGAAAACTTAATATCAAAGGAGCAAGATAAAAGATTTAGTTAAATTGTGAGTTTCTTTTTCAGCTGGTAGCCAGTGTTAACACCAGCTCCTTTGGCAGTGAGAAACCAGGAGACATTTACAGGCACAGAAACAGAGAGACACATGGTAGGTAAACACTGAAGATCACTTATGTCACATGAACTGAGTAGAGGCGCTTCAGAATTCTGGAGGATAGAAAGCAATCTGCCAACTGGGGAAAAATAGCCAAAACCAAACAAAAGAGAAATGGATCTTGAAGTGTTTTCTCCTAATATTGTATACAGGACAGAAGTATCACAAAAGAGAAAAATCACAGAAATATATAAAGAGGTAACAGGGAGCAGGTTGAGGACACAGAAAAAGTAAACCTTGAAAGCAGGATGAAATTGTGGAAGGTTCTTGGCAGATGCTTTTTCCTTTTTTTAAGTACCAAGAACTGCTTGACATCCTTATCAAATTTTATAGCATGGAAAGGAAAAAAGAACGGACAGAGGTTAAAGGAGATAGGAAGGTAAAGGAAATGAGTGGCTTACAACAGAACTTGAACATCTTTTGGATAAAACAACTTAACAGCAAAGGGAAGAAGTGAAAGAACTGATTGGATTTGCACTTTGTCCTAGGTCAGTTCAACAACACAAGCACAGAACAGCTGCAGTCAGTGAGAGTCAACTAAGGCCCAGGATTCAAGTAACAAACAGTTTGATTCAAGCGCAGAGTGAACGATTTAAAAGAAAAGGGAGGATAGAGCTGAAGCACTGATGGGTCCTTGTATTTCTGAACAACCCACTTGGTTTCCATCTACATATGACATGAAAATATCAAAACTCATCATACTAATAATCTTTGGTGATTAATCACAGTGTTCAAATTAATACATACAATCTAAATTTATTATTTCTAAAAACATCTTCTTGGAATATTAATAGCACTCAGTTTCTCTGTTTCAGTGGTTTGTCTAAAAGTATCAACTGTTCTACTGCTATGTTAATAATTGATTTTAGATAACCCTGGAAATAGCATGTGAGAAAAAGCAACTTGCACCCTGAAAAGTACTGACCATTAGAAAATATGAAAGCTGCTAGAAGTTATTAAAAATTTGCAAGCTTCTTTAGTAAAATATTACCAAAATAATTCCAAAACTCAGCCAAATGTGTTGGTTTAGATATGTTGTTTAAAATGTTTTCTTTGGACACAACAATCTATACACAAGTACTATAGATATTAAAAAATATTCAGGTGATTAAGAATCACCGAGTCTAATAACTTTCACTGTATCTTTGTTCAGACATATAAACTTTACACTTAAGTTTATCCAAAGACATTTTAAGAACAGACTTAATGATGTGTGTGAAAATATCAATTCCTTCTTTAAGCAATTTGAAGTCTTGTGTGCATTGTAGTGCATTACTTAGCATCCGCATTATCAGAGCTCTTTTACTGTTTCTCATTTTAGAAGTCTCCAATTGTTTTCCATAGTTCACTTGAGTGGTAAAGTATAATATATAAAATTTTAGTACTACCCTTGACAATTGTAACATTCCCACATTAGCTTAACTAGGAATGAATCTGAATAACCAATAACTACATTCCGTTTCCCACTAACCAGGAAACAAGAACTATTGTCAGCTGGAGAAGTCAGCATATGGGTATATCAAAACAGGGAAAAAATTGCCAATTTATTCTGAATTTGATCATCTGATCAATCACCTCTAATCTCAAGGACAAAAAAACCCAAACACATAAAAATCCAAACAATTCCACATACCAGACCTGGCAAAAAATGTGTGTTAATCCACTGTGTCATGTTAACAGCCAGATTCTACCACCCTTAGCTTTACACTGTGAGAAGTGTATTAGCAGAATTAGGAAGGCCAAAATGCAACTGTATTACAAAAAAATTAAAAAATCAACAGGAACAAGACATATATGGAACTAAACATTTCAACTAAGTATTTCAACTTTAAAATCCTAAATCAAAAGCAGTCCAATTGAAAGCAGTCCAAGATTATGCATCCAAGACTTAATTGTTAATATTTTATCAATGACAGTGGGAACGCAATCTGCTTCCATTGCCATGCCATATTTTCAGCAGACAATTACAAAATAAGCAATCTCTAAGACAGGAGTGAATTATAAACCATTATGTCCATATATGTAATATAAAAAAGTTCTTCGGTGGGACAGATGGAATTAAAATTGCATATATTTTGCCACTGAGCTACTAACATTGTTCCATTGCATTTTGATAGTTGAAGACAAATAAGCTTGCCAGATACATTCAATAACAGCTCCGTTTTGAATCAGTAATGCACAATGAGTTTACACAAATCAACATGAAGTATCTACGCAGAGTACACAGCTGTATAAAACAGAGTAACACTTACCTCACCAAGTCTCTATAAAACGCTTTTGTTGTTTCTAAATATGGGTCAACTACATCTTCAAACTGGCAAATAGTTCCTCCAATGCAAAAATGCTTAAAAAGACAGAACAGGAATTCCTCACGGTCCAATTGACTAAATAAATCATAATGGTCTGAATCCTTCAGAAGCAAGACCTTGTGGAACAAGAGAAAAAAACCCAAAGAAATCAAAGAGATTAACATTTCTTACTTAAGTTCATAAACAATGCAACTGCTGTGCTGTATGGCACACAGGATTTATGTCCATATGAAACATATGAACTAGGGATGGAAAGAAGTAAGTACTTCTCTCTAAATCCAATTATCTAAAAAGAAGTAAGTACTTCTCTCTAAATCCTTCGTCCAATTATGCAGTTATGTTCAAAATTCTTACACGCTATACAAAGCAGAATGACTGTCAGATTTGTGCCCAAAAGACATAAGGGAAGATTTTTCAAGTCTTGTTATTCACTGTTTTATTGTATGTCATGCTAATGAAGCAATAAATAATCTGAAGATAATCTAGCTATATTTGCATGTCAATCACTGCCAATCAGGCTGTCTTTGTTAACCTTGGCTGCATTTGCTTTTTCAAGTTTCAATTTACACAGTCATTTCACATTTGTAAAGAATCCCAAGGATCCCTCTGAGGAGATCATTCAAACTCACATCATCCCTTATTGCAGACTCCAGTGAGCCTTAATCTGTAGCCTGGATTAACCAGACATGCTATCCAGTTGCCTCCATGCATCTCACCTGACTTTTGCTGAGACATTATGTGAACACAGAGGACTTGCTAGATTAGTCCCAACACTGCACATGGTAAATGTGGACAGGAACAGCTAAAAGATGTTTGAGTCATGTCAGCCAAAATGCAGATGCCAACCCAGGCAAACTGGTCAAAGCTAGACATGAGCCTACCGCTCTCTGTCCCTCTTTATAACATCACTACATAACCTGAGTAACAAGGGGTCAAGGCAGCAACTGCTACCTCAGACATATCCCAACCCCCTTCTTGACTGAAGAAAGAGAAGACATGGCAAGTAGGAAACATGGAGTCTTGCAGATGAGGGCCATCCTATGACGCCAGGAGACAGACAGTTTGCTGCCCCCTACAGTCTTCTGTCCTAGAGCCCTCCCTGATTTAATTGAAGTTTTGATGTCATTCCGGGAAAACTGGACTCTTTTCTTTCTGCCATCTTAAGTCTCATGAGTAGGAATCTCATTCATTTCACACCAATGTGAAACTCTCAGCTTGCAAATGCTGACACACATATCCCTTCCAAGGGAAGGAAAATGGGAAGACACCAAAACTCCAATGATTTCTAATTTTAAATGTTGTCTCTAACTTTCCTACATACAATACGCTTAATTTTCAGAAAACATCTCACATGTATCCAGCTTATAAATAAATACATAGTATTTTGAACTGCTAGGCTACAAACCACATCTGGAATTCAAACATGAGCTTGAGTTCTTACCTTTTCCCAGAACTTTACAAGACAGACCAGTATTTCAGGCCACATCCTGTAACCAGTGTCACTGGTTCAAATACATTGCCTTCAAAGGATTTGCCAAGTGCAAATGAGTGCAACTCTATAATTATTAAGTACTTATGTTGATTATATATACAAGGAAGAGCAAAATCCAGTTCTCCCACACTATGCTTTGCTAATGCTAAACAAACATAATTTTAAAAAGTTGTTTTAGTTATGAAGTCAAAAGAAACACAGTAAAGACATACACTGATTGAGAAGGTGCCACTCTTAGATTTTTTCAGAACAGTCTGCATTCTGGCACCTCCACTAGAGCATAACAAACAGTTTTTACATTGTAGACCTGTTATATTTAGTCCTTTTCCAGTGTTACACTGAGAAGTAATATCCTTTTCAATAACCTCCTCTTCATTTCAGTGGAAATTTATGAAGATAACTTTCTTTAAATGCCTTCACATATGATATGGTCAGCATTCCCGGCCAGGAATGCTTCAGGATGTAGCTATTGAATACATTCAATTTCATGAGCTACCTGGAAGCGTGGGTGAACCTACCTGAGTATCACAGGACCTTCCCCTTGGCACCCCTTGTCTCCCTCTCCTAAGCAAATGAGTAGCTGCATTTCCCCACACACACCCCCAAACACTGACTACTTGAGACACAAGTGGGTAGAAGGTTTTACCTCTTTCTCCCACCTAAAAAGGAGAGAGGGCCCACCTGGAAAACAGTCATTACTTTCACACATTCAGGCACTGCAGTGCCTCAGTTTCTAAAACATGGCTATTGATGCCCATTTTTACCTTTGTCAGGAAAAAAAACCAACCAAAAAAACATGTCCTTATGGCACCTAATAGAGTATGGAAAATTATAATAAATTATTCATTACTATACTGACCTTCCTTAATTCATCCGATACAAGAATATCATCATAATAGTCATGGCAACACTGCACAATATCTCCAGTTTCTCTAACAACTCCTTGGGAATATAGCCGATCGAAAAATGACATGGAAATCTGTGTACAGGGTACCACAGTAGCTTCAATTTGTGTCACTTTGGAACCTGGAACATACAGGAAGCTGGTTTTATGTTTCATATTCTTAAAAAAATTACAGATCACCTAAGTATGACTCAGTCACACAGTTCCTCAAAAACCCAAGAGAGTTAGGACAGAAATAAGCGTAAAGAAAACATTGAATGCATCTGGCTACTACTTTCCTCTCAGGCTCGTGTGTCTGCTCCCCCTGTTGGTAAATACTATCAACCGAAACTAGGAACAGATGGAACACCGTGTGAACCCAACATCGCGTTAGCTCACACCCTTAGAAAATCGTATTCCACAGCTTAAGCCTTAAAGAATCCGAGGACAAATGCCAAAGTTGTCATGATGCAGTACAGAAGTCAATAGCTGCTAACAGCTATAGGCCCCACAAAGTAAAACCCGAAAAGAACACAGCCCTGACAAGTTTGTGATTACATCTGAACTTTTTGAAAAGTTATTTTCAGATAACTTCACCACTGTAAACTTTACTAACCAGCTTTTTCAGAAGATGAAAATGGTACAATCAGCACTTCCTGTATGAATCTGGAGTATCTCTCTATAATCTTTACATGAAGAGTATATTTTTCTATAGTTTCTTTTTCCCTCTGCTTACAAATCATCCAAGGCTGGATTCTGTTGCTCATAGACATCCAGTGTTATTTGAGATACCCTACAGTATTTTCCTTAATGAGGTATCACTCCATAAGGGCACATATCTTCTCTATATACAGTGTTACATCTACAAATCTGTATGCATGGTGTTGGATAACTTATGGCATCTCAAATAGCATTAGACCCTACGTTTAAGAAGATTTGGACTCAGTCCAGTTCTATCTGCTCTCTGGTCCAAGTGTTCAGGCCAAATGTTAGAACATATTATCTACCCAAGTGGCCTGAACACCCTTCAAAGTGCGTCTGAACAGGAGAGGGGAGGAGAGTATCAGTGAGCAACACAAGGGCAATGTGTCTTGAGCAGAGTGAATATTCACAGCATTCCAGCTGTCCAGGAGATTACTCTTAACTCTTCTCCTCTGTAGGTTCTCTTGATGGGAGATTCATCAACAACATCTACAATATCAAAAGGCTATTTACCATACAATTAGAGATAAAATTCCGTGGTGTCCTGACAAACTGACCTAAAGGATCTCTAAGGACTATGTAGGAAATGTCCACATTTCCCTGTCAATGGCAGTAGTTCTGGAACAGAAACATCCCAAAAAGGAATGTAAGAACCATGATGCTTGCAAGAGCACCCACCATTTCATTCTGATCCTAATCTTTGCAAGCATAGTATAATCCAAAATTGCTCTTGCCCCCACACTTCCAAAGAACCTTTGGGATTTCTGCCATATACTATTACATGGAGATTATTTATTCATAGCTTAAGTAGGAGTGGTGGCATTTTAATATCTAAATCCAGGTAAACCGAACCACCTACCCAATCAATACCAGGAAAAAAAAATGTGTTAAAGAGAAGTTACAAGTTGATGGCTTGAAAACGTGCCTACTTAGCTAAAATACTGACAGGAAATTTTGTAATTATTTTATTGGACCAACATGATGTAAAGAAAATCAGCTCTAGACAAAAGCACAGCATTTAATTGCTTGGCATCACATGTACAGATAATGGTTATGGAAAAGGGTACCTTTTATCAAAGTAAAAAGGTTTAGGACATTCTCCTATATGTCCACATAGTGACCATCAAAAAATAATCAAATTATGTAACCAAACACACAAATCAGAAAAAGCCATGAATTACAGCCTCACAAAAAAACCCAGACTGATTTATATTTTTATTTATTTACGCTTGATCTCACCCCCTCACTTCCAGGTTCCTGTGACTTCTAATTCTCCAGCTTCTTTTGACAGGGATCAAATTTTTATTTTATAAGGGTTTTAATAAGAACCAAATCAGTCTCTAACATATGAATTAGTAAATACCTATGAATTAAAAACTGAGTCGACTAATAAAAATCAGATGTTAAGTAACTTGAGGAAAATGAAAAATCAGATTTTCCCAGTCATTGAGCTAAAAATATAAGAAATTGAGCTATTTATAGGCCTCAAATTATAAGGATTTTACTGCAGGAAGAGAAAGAGAAACACTTCTGCTCTGAAAAAAAGATTTTATGAAACTTTCATCAGGAAAAAAATATCAAGAGCTTTGTAATCTATTCAGTAGTTCAGAAAATCAAACTATAAATGGAAAAGTTTAAGTACACTGGAAGCTCCTATTCTCCATTTGAGAGGTGAGATTTGAAACTGGAGATTCAGAATTTCCTGGAGGAGAGTGACTAGTTTTAATAACGCTGTAAAAGTGAGCAATAAAATAGGAAGAAGAAATGCCGTGACAACTCTGCAAGTGGAAAACAAAGAGCTGAGAAGTCCTGAAGCAGTTTAAGGTTCTTATAACAGCTAGCTCTGGAATATCTATAAAGTGCTGCCAATATATTTTCAAATGAAAACCTTGCATATCTAGTATGGGGCAGATAAACTCTGGATTAGGTATAGTTAGAATTCCTCCAAAATCTGAGAAAGATTTTTTACATCAGAAAAACATCTTGCAACTTACAATTTACAAAACATTTTGTACATAATACAAGTTCAGTGCTCTGTATTAAAGAAAAAGGCATTTCAAAAGTGAAAGGTGCACGCTGATGATTTATAGGTTCAAATGACATCTCAATTTTTTTGCAAATTATAATCGCTAACAGTAGTCTAAAAAAATTGCTGATTTAAGATTCCTTTTCAGATTTTAAAATCCCATTCTGGACACAGAGATCGTTAGAGCTTCAGGTACATGTGGCAACTCATGAATCTTTTTCTAGGCAAATTCTAAATTTTTATTTACACAAAAAAGACGGTAACCCTACCCCTCTGAAGATAACTTTTCAAGTGTTAATTGAGCTTAAGCAGACACAGTCCTGCCTCCCCAAGACTGCTGACAGGTGCAAGGCCAACAATGTGTCCAAGGAAAAACTACTGCTACTAGACATAAACTGGTATGCATCAGATTTGTTCCTTTTGCTGCCTCTGTTTTTGAAATATCAGAGTAACAGATGAAAAGGTGGTTTAAAGCACATGTCAGAACTATAAGGTACTCTGCCATGCAGCCAGGAGGAGGGGAAAAAGTATCCCTTCTACAACAGGCAAAAATAGTGTGGTGCGAGAATAGGTCAGTAAGTATCTTTTTGATCAGATGAAGCAGACTAGAGAATATCCTTGTGTATTGTTTGCCTAAAATGTTTTACTTCAAGTAATACTAGAGTCTTGAGATAATGTGTTATTGTGGGATTCTACTAGGAAAAAATACAGTATTAGGGAGAAGGTGAAAGGGGACCACAGCCTCAAAAAAGACAAAAGTTTTATGAAAACAAACACTATTGTAATAACACACGGATGGTTTCTATAATGCTGATATTTTTCTCTGGATCCATAAATACTTCCCATCCAAGATCATGGAGGGGACAAGAAGGGAGGTTTCTAAGGATCTATCTAAACCCCACTTATATTATGCATCCAAGTATCTCCTCGCTGGAAAAAATCCTAACACTTTTGTTTGCAAGAGAATAAATACAAGAGTTAACAAACAAAAGAGTTACTTCATAATGATAAGTAAATGATATCTCTAGATTAATGTATCAGTATGTCTGGAGAAGAAAATACTAAAGATGATTTTTACCTCCTCCCACTCAAAGCTAATTCTTACTATATTTTCAAAAAAATGCACATGAAGACTAAGTATAGAAAAATGTGCCAACATTCCTCACCAAAAATAGGCAAAGAATGGGAAGATGAAATTTTAAGAGCAAATGGGGTATACCAGCTGTTCAGGATTTAGCAAGGGAACCCTTCCAGTCCTTAGAACAAAATGCATTATTTCTGTGCTGGGGAAGATTGAGCAGAATCAGGACTGGGATAAACTGGGATACTTGGCAAGTGACCCTCTGCTCCAAGCACAAGGTATTTAACCTACTGACCCTCACTACAGGGACTGGGGGGGGAGGGGGGCATACACTAGACAGCCTAAAAAATTATTGCCTAAAGCAGGAAAAAGCTTACCCATGGTTTGAAATATATTTATTTTTCCTGCTTGCCAGAGTGAGAAAGAGGTACCTGCAGGGGCACTTGAAATATTTTTTGCATCTTATATATTTCAATTGGTTTAATAGTTAGATGCAGTGTTTGAAAAATGGATTTTTGCTGACAAAAAGGTAGCAAGGTCTAGTGTCATTGTATACAGTGGGAAAAACCTATGCCAATTCCAGAGAGCTGGAATGGAAAAGTCAGAAAATTCCCAAAGCTCCATTAAATACTTACACACAGTAAAGTACTTGCAGACAAACCAAAAGAAATGGGGACTTCCCTCTACCCCCTTTTAAAATATTCCTATTATGGAAAACCACTTCGGCAATATCAGAGGTCACATTATGCCTAAAATCCCATTACGTTATCATGTGCAATTTCCATGAAATTTTGTGTGTCGTTTACATAATGAAAAATACAATTTCAAAGTGGTGCCATAAAACCATATGCTATTAGCTTTTGGTCTTTCTGCTTTAGGGTCTCATCTGCATCTACAGACATAATCAAGTGTTTTAAGTAATTTCTGATATGGCAGCAAACTACAAGCCAACATCATGGCATGATTGAAACTAAAGCAGCCTATCAGGTGGGGGTCAGTCTCTTCTCCCAGGCAACCAGCAGTAAGCCAAGAGGGCACAGAGGCTCTGCCAGGGGAGGTTTAGGTTAGATATTAGGAAGAGATTTTTTACGAAGAGAGTAGTCAGGCATTGGAATAGGCTGCCTGGGGAGGTGGTGGATTCACCATCCCTGGAGGTTTTCAAGATGAGACTGGATGTGGCACTTAGTGCCATGGTCTAGTAACCATGGTAGGGTTGGACTTGATGATCTTGGAGGTCTTTTCCAACCCAGTTGATTCTATGATTCTATGGTCATGTGGGGCTTGTGCTGCACCTCCATCACCTCTGCTGTGTGGAGAGCAGAGTTACACAAGCTTGGCGGGGTGTGTTCTATCTAGTCCTCTGCTCTCTCAGCTTTAATTTGTAACAGAGCAATAATCTCAGATCCGTCCCAAGTAAGGTCGTTGCATCTGTGGAAGAGTGTCTTTCTCCAAATGCTATCTGAATAATTTCACAATTAATGCGTTGATTATGTCTGGATACTTGATCAGGTCAACTGGATGTCACATATCATTTAAAAATGATATAGGGGTCAAGGGCAAAAAAGTGTAAAATGTGACCATTTAGTAACAGACAAGGTAAGAATTTTTCTTACTATTTACTAAAACAAGTAATTAAGATATTTCAACCAGGCAAAAATACACATATATGAACATATGACACATATATATGTCATTATTAGAAAATGGAAAATTAGAGCAGAATAGTTACAACACAGACTTTTTCACTTAAGATTTATTCTACATTTACCCAATGTAGTCCATTGTCCCGAAGCTGACAGCAACTTTAAACTGGAGTTCACATTTTGATCAGTAAAAAATGCCTATAATATTCAAATAAGAGAACAGAAGTTAATGAAATGAAACATAAAATCATCATTTATAGTGACTTGGATACTTTTGAAGCAAATTCTAAGGCTCCAGTTAGTAAGTAGATTCTGTATGTCTTTCAGTTTGGATACACCACCAAATCCATGTTTTTCTAACTTAGTGTAGCCAGTGTCTTTTATAGAGTCAAGATATCTTCAGGTGCATATATTGCTTTAATACATGCAGTATTAAAGTTTTACAGTAAAGCACTTCTAGTCCAAGAACACACAAAAATGTTGTATGAAATTCTTGGAGGTATATAAAATCATGGAAGAGATGAAATAGTTCTGTCCTATCTCTGCATTCCATGTTGTTGAAGTTAAAAATGAAATTTTTAATTATTTTAAAATCGGCACTTCTAAAATAAATTTGAAGCTTGGAGAAGTTAGAGACACACAAAAATTGTTAAACAGATACAGAAGAGATTAACAAGTTATTGAAGGGATGGAGAAGCAGTTCCACAATAAGATTTGAACTATTCAATCTCATTGATTTATCAATTCAAAAAAAAAGGACACATGTATAGCAATGTTGGTAGCTGGCAAGTTTACATGACAGATAAGCCAACTAAGAAAACGCACACTTATGTATATGCATATAAGCAGAGTGAAAAATGAGAGAAATTGCTAAGAAAATGATGGATTTTTCAGTCTCTGCATCACCTAATCTCTTTACCACCCCTCTGGGATACAGAGAGACCAGACAGTATAATGTAATGGCCCTTTTTTCCCCAATTACTTCATAGCTACTCAGATTTCATCAATTCATAGTGATCTTTACATTTTTACTTCAAAAGAGACAAGCACTGAGAAGGCAAAGGTGTATTTTGTAAATTTCAATAACTTGAAATGTTTATCAGAGGGAAATGAAATATTGGTGTATTTGTGTGTGAATTTCTTTAAAATACAAAGAGGCTGAATTCTTTATCAAGTATAACAATATAAAGTAGACATATAACAAATCAAAGAGTTGTTTTTAAAACAACAGAGGTAAAAACCATACTTTTTTAAACCACAGGTTTTGGGGCTTTTTTCTGTCTGCAGATAGATGATCAGACTTGACTTTGCAGACAACAGAAGTGAAGGACACAAACTCAGCAAGACACTTGAGTCTCAAAAAGCTGAGACTGCAATAGTATCCAATAAATGTAAAAAATTGTGTTTTCAGATATGTGGTGCACATGCATCTCTAATTGCACAGTGCATTTACTGTGACAAAGCCATAATAGCTGTGAGCAAGGGTACCAACTGTGTGTACACTGTCTAAAGTCTCACCCTGGGTGGACTTCCCAACACTGAATGCCGTGGCCAAGATCAGCATTCAGTTCACATTTCCATTCTTGGGAATCCTGAATGACTAAATTGTTCCCTCTTAAAACAGAGTAACATTAGTACAGACTAAAATATTTTTACTGGACAATGCAGTTAACCCACAAAGCAAGACTTGAGCACCACACCTAAATCCACTACTTTCCAGGAGACAGTGTGCAGGCCAAGAGTGTGCAACACTGCTGCAGTGTTTGCTGTTATGCAGTTTTACAATAGCTATAATTGCTATGGGGGGAAAAAAAAAGTCAACTTAAAATACAAAGGACTTAGAAGTACCATAACAAATTCATCCTTTTGATAGGGCTTGAACGGCTGGTCAAAACTGAATGCCTGTGCTGTGATCCTGCCTTGCATGGACCTGAAATGGAAAAATGAGACTCAATACTCCGCAGACATACTAAGACATACTTACCCACTCTGAAAATTTAGTTAGATATGAATCATAAAGCCCTATTTTGACCAATAGTTATACTCTTTCTTTTCTTTCTTTCAGTTATAAGTGCCTCCCACCCCTCCTCGGAGGGCACAGGCTGCATCAGAGCAACGCTGCGAGCTGAAGTATATCTTGACTAACCCTGGAAGGTGAGGACAGATGCCTCCCAAGGAGTGGTTTGTGTGCCTGGAAGGCATCGAGGAGACCTCAAATTAAGGGTGTGGGGGAGGAAGGGAAGGGGAAGGGGAAAGGGAAAGGGTAAGGAAAGGGAAAGGGGAAGGAAGGGAGGGGAAGGGAGCGGGGAGAACAGA